AGTCCTGTATGCCCCAGCTTCTGCATCTGGCCCCCAAAAGCTGGAGGAATGGCACTTGAGAAAGGTGGGAGGGGGCTAGAGAGAATTCAACTTTATTCTTCCTGAAGCAAAAGCTTTCTCCACACCTTGGGAAAGATTTGAGTCAGCTACTACTGCCCCCCAGTGGCTGTGTGTGTGCACCACTCGTTCAAAGGAAGGCACCAAATGTAGGGTCAATCACTGGAAGGCAGACACACAGGGACAAATGGAGGTCTTCCTGAACCTGCAGTAATTCGATGATCGCTGGAAATAAATTGGGCACACTTCATACTTTATGTACCCAGCCACCCACCCAACCAGCCAGTAATATGTCTTTCCTTCCTTCCTTCCGTCCATCCATCCAACCACCCATCCTTCCATCCAATGATTCATCCTTCCTTCCATCCACCCTTTCCACCCTCCCTCCCTCCTTCCATCCATCCACCTATCCTTCCATCTCTCCTTCCTTCCCGTGGTCCATCCTTCCATCCTTCCTTCCATCTGTCCACCTCCAACAATTCTCTAGAAAGGATTAGGATGTATCCAAAATAAAATAATATGTAAAATATGGCAAGGTGGGCCAAAATAATATTTCTTAAACAGCAACTAGAAACATTATTTTCATGTGAAAATAAATGTCTAACACTAGTCTATGATTTCTTACACTACATGAAATACAGATCTTGTTTTCATGTAGATGATGCAGGAATAGGAAAGGAAACCATAAAAAAAATTTTGTTTGTGAGCTGCCAGAGTCAGCTCCAACTCATGGTGACTTTACAAATGAAACACTGAGTCATGTGCGTCGCCCTGACGAGCACCACCCGGCCCCATGTCACCCCCATGGGCACCACCTGGCCCCGCGTCACCCCCACAGGCACCGCCCGGCCCCATGTCACCCCCGCGGGCACCACCCGGCCCGTTTTACCCTCACAGGCAATGCCTGTCCCTGTGTCACCTTCATGGACATTAGCATGTTTGAATCCATTGTGGCAGCCACTGTGTTGATCCATCTCACTGAGGCTCTCCCTCATTTTTGCTGACCCTCTTTACCAGTCATGACGTCCTTCTCCAGAGAGTGGTTCCTTCCGATGATTTGTCCAAAGGATGTGAGACAAGAGCCTCGCCATCCTCCCTCCTAAGGGGCATTCTGGCTCTACTTCCTCCAAGACAGATATGTTCATTCTTCTGGCAGCTTATGGGATATCCAATATTCTTAACAAACACCACAATTTGAAAGGGTCACTTCTTCTCGGATGTTCCTTTTTCATTCTCCAGCTGCTGCATACATGTGACGCAACTGAAAGTTTCATGGCTTGGGTCAGGAACACCTGAGCCGACACCTTCACTTTTTAACATTTTAAGGAGTTCTTTTGCAGCAGGGTTGCCCAATGCAATGATCAGATTGGCAACAGCAACTCCAAAGGCTGATGAGAAGCTACACTTTAAAGTCGACCATTAATTATAAAAATTGTTTTTCAAGAAATGTTGCATAGACTCCTAGACATTTCCAAGTTCTTTTGTAACTCCCATTATGTCTGCCTTTCTAGTGAGGTATACAAGCCTAAAGAGAATCTTTCTTCTCCAGAGCACACCTTCAACCTCGTCAGGGTGCCGCCTGATTCGCAAATTGTGTATTAAATAAATGTCAACAAATTCCCACAATTGGCTTATTACTGTAACAACACACAAAGGAATAGATCTGGAGACTACACTGCTCTTTCAAACCACATCCTATTGTATTAGACACCAGCCCGGTGGGAACCACGTCCCACTGTATCAGAAACCAGCTCGGTGGGAACCACGTCCCACTGTATCAGAAACCAGCTCGGTGGTTCAAGAAAAAGCAGTGAGGAGGAGCTGCTGAAGAGCTCCTTTTATTTGAAAAGGAAGTCAGTAAACAGAGCAGATGGCACCTCAGATTAACTGGGGACCACATGGTTAATCCTTTCTTAGTAATGTTGTTGTTGTTGTTGCTGTTGTTGTTATGTGCCGTCGAGTCGGCCCCGACTCATAGCGACCCCTCCTGGGGTTTCTGAGGCAGTATCACTATGGAAGTAGGATTGCCCAACCTTCCTTCCGAGGAGCGGCTGGTGGGTTTGAACTGCCAGCCTTCTGGTTAGCAGTCAAGTGCTTTAGCCACTATGCTACCAGAGCTCCTTTTCTTATTAATACTGAACCAAAAATAAATAAATAAATAAATAGCCATTACCATCAAGTCGATTCAGACTCACAGCAACCCCCATTGAGTGGCTGGATTTGAACCGCTGATCTTCTGGTTATCAGTCAAATGCCTTAGGTACTGTGCCACCAGAGCTCCTTAATACTGATCCAGGATATGTAAATTGTGGAAAATTAGGAAACGCATGTAAGAAAAAAAATACACACTCCCTGCTCAAGGAACACCCAAAGTGCATTTCCTTCGGATCATTTCATGTTCTCAGAAAGAACTAGGTCCCTGGAGAGGAACACTGTGCTGGGTAAAGTAGAACCAAAAAACAAAACCAAACTCACTGCCATTGAGTCAGTTCTAACTCAGAGCAACCCCTCTTGGGTTTCTGAGGCGGTATCTCTATGGAAGTAGATCAGCCAACCTTCTTTCTGAGGAGTGGCTGATGGGTTTGAACCGCCAACCCTCTGGTTAGCAGTCAAATGCCTTAGGCACTACACCACAAAAGCTCCTTTTTCTGGGTAAAGTAGAGGGCCAGCAAAAAAAGGAAAGGCCCTCAACAAGGTAGACTGATACAGTGGCTGCCACAATGGGCTCAAGCTTAGCAAGGATTATGAGGAGGGCACATGACCAAGCAGTGTTTTATCCTATTGTACATGGGGTTGCTATGGACAGGAACTGATTTGACAGCACCTAACAACAACGAATATATACATATGTATACGTATGTATATATATAAATGTATGTGTGCATGTGTGTATACGTGTATACATGTAAGGAGCTCTGGTGGCATAGTGCCTAAGGTTGACAGTTCAAACCCACCAGTCACTTCACGGAAGGAAGACTGGGCAATCTACTTCCATAAAGATTTACCACCTTGGAAACCCAAAGGGGGTCACTATGAGTCAGAATTAACTCGATGGCAGTGAGTTTGGTTTTTAGGGTTTGGTATATGTGTGTGTACATGTGTACATGTGTGTACGTGTCTATGTGTGCATGTTTTCAGGAAGAAAATTACTGTTTCGGAATAGAAAAGAATGTGGCCTTTCTCTCTGAGGAGCTAAGCCAGCTAGACCTATACCATGGTATTCCTGAGTTAGGAACATGTAGTTCAGTAGCATCCTGAGTGCACACTAAACAGACAAACGCATCTCAACTGAAGTACTCCTGGTAGTCTACTTACAGCAGCTATGGAAGATGCAGTGGTCCACACCGGCCAGGGCAGGAGCCCCTCCACAGCCAGCTATCAGAGGGCAGCAGAATGTGGTACCAACTCAGCAGTGGCTGCACGCAGGTGTGGGAACAGCCTTCATGCAGCAGCGCGTCTGTGTGTCCTTCCGAGTGACTTTTAAAAGGTACAACTCTTGTTATGTTAGCTGCTTTAATTTAAAAGATGCTATTAAAATAATTCCAGACGCCTGTCTGCCAGCCAGAGCTGCCGGAAGCCAGCCTTCACAGACCGTCCCTTGGCGCCCTGAGCAACAACTCCTCAGAGGCACAAGCTGAGGCTTTGCTGCGCCTCCTTCTCTAGGGATTTGAACACAGGCTCCAAGTAGTCCCCTAGCACAAGTTTCTGCACCAGTAACCACCACTTCAGCGGGTCCCCTCCAGTGGGTGATTCATGGTTGCACTGACCTCCAGGCCGTCCACGTTGAACAAGGTGGACCGGAATGGAGGAGGGCAGCAGGGGGTGAAAAGGGGGTGGGGGGACAAGAGGGGCGAGTAGGCAGTCAGAGGGGGACCAGGGGGACGAGCAAGGAGTTGGAGGGAGTCGGAGGGGGCGCAGAGGGTGAGTAGGGAGCCAGAGGGAGCCGGAGGGGGCGCAGGGGAAGAGCAAGGAAGTCGCAGGGGAAAGTAGGTGGGACCAGCCGCCGCGGAACAGAAAGGGGCGCAGGGGGACTGGCCTGGGTACGGAAGGGCACACTAGGGGCGGCTGGAGAAGGAGGGCCGGTCCTGGAGGCGCAGGGAAGAGCAGAGGCGCAGTCGGGGTGGCGGAGGTGCGCGCAGGCCCGTGCAAGAAGCAGTCGGAGAACCGACCTCCTGCAGCCAGGCGCTCCCACCTCCCGGCGGGCTCCGGACCCGCGCGAGGAGCGGGGCGACGGGCAGGGACCTCCCCTGTGGGCCTGCCGTCCGCCTATCGCGGCCCTGGACCGCGGCGCCTGGCCTGGACCCCGATCCCGGGCTTTCAGCTCCGGACCTGGACCACGACTCAGACCGAGCTCCGGCCTCCGACTCCGAACCCAAGCCCTGGACCCTGGCCTCCGGACACTGACCTCCGGCCCCTAGCCTGGACGCCCGATAGTCGACCTCAGGACCCGACCTGGCCCTTGATCCCAGAGTCCAGCCCGAGACCTGGATTCCAACCGAAGACTCCCGCCGGCGAGCCTGGGCCTCCACCTCCCTGGTCAAACTCCGTTCCCGCCGCCGCGTCGCCAAGGTTACGAGCCCCGCCCCCGGCGCGTACGTTCAGGCCCAGCTCAACCTCTCGCGAGAGCCCGGAGAGCACCGCCCCCACTTCCTCTTCTCGCGAGAACCCGCAGGTCTCCCACTTCCGCTCTTCACTGGGCCCCGCGGCTAGGCTTGGAAGCTCCAGCCTCGCTCAGGGGGTCGCGGGGAGTGGCGGTGAGTCCAGGCCCCACACGCCCCGGAGGGGAGTCGGGGACGGCAGAGGCCCCGAGCCCCCGCCCCGTCCCGACTAAGCCGCGTCCTCAGGAGCCTGCCCCGCGCGCGCCTCGCCCCTCCCTCCACCCCGAGCTCTAAAATGTCGCCCGCTCATGAGGACGCCTTGTGAGCCCCTACCCGGCACCCACCATGGCGGCGCTCTGGGCGCGCACGCTACTGTTGCTCGTGGTGGCTCAGGCCGCGTCGGCTGCGCTGGGCGTTGAGGACGAAGTCCCGGAGGAGTGGCTGCTGCTGCACGTCGTGCAGGGCCAGATCGGCGCCGGCAACTATAGCTACCTGCGGCTGAACCATGAGGGCACCATCGTGCTGCGGCTGCACAGCCTGCGCGGCGACGCAGACCTGTACGTGTCCGACAGCACGCTGCACCCCAGCTTCGACCACTACGAGCTGCAGTCCGCCACCTGCGGCCAGGACGTCGTGTCGGTCCCCGCGCACTTCCAGCGCCCCGTGGGCATCGGCATCTACGGGCACCCGTCTCACCAGGAGAGCGAGTTCGAGATGAAGGTGTACTATGACCGGACAGTGGAGCCGTCCCCGTTCGGCGAGGGCGCCTACGCCCCGGACAGCACGGCTCCGGGCCAGCGGCGCGCACATGGCCCGGAGGACGCTGCGCAGGAGGAAGGCTCTGTTCTCTGGACCGTGCTGATTGGCATTCTTAAGCTGGTAGTTGAGATCCTCTTCTGAGGCGGCGGTCCTGCTCCTGAGGACCCCTGCCGCACCCGGGAAGCCGGTGGTGCTGGCTGCGAACCTTGCTACTTCGCCTGCTGGAAATTCGGGTTGCTTTTTCTAGCTGGGGGATGGAAAATCGAAGCCATACAGTGTTTTGTTACCTCAGTTTCTCAGAGAAGAGGAGAAGCAGCAAAGCAGCAAGCCCAGTACGTGTTTGAAAAACTCAAAGTTCCTATCAACAAATATACACCATAAAATGTTTAAACTCCATGGTGAGTGTCATCAGGTGACTACATAGAAGGTAACTGCAGTCATGCAGGTGTTCTGTAATCAGAACAGCAGCCTGTAGTCCACTTAGGCAGACCGGATATAAAAGACTGGAAGGGAAGTTCTGTCTTCTGGAGAACTGCTGAAGTCAAGTGTGAACTGTGAGCTGATGTACTTGTATACCCAGGTGTCTTCTTCTTGGCGTCTCCCAGCAGGCAGGTGTGAACGTTTGTCCCTGTGCCACCTGCAGTGAATGACAAGTCTTAATCTGGCCATACCAGATTTTAAGCCATCTGTAATCCATCATCTTGGGCTACCTATTAATGAACATTCTGAGTTAGTAAACACCATTGCCTCTCCCTGGTGGTGGCCAGAAACCTCAGTGCAGAGCAGCAAGCATCCAGACATGCTAGCAACTTCAGGCTAATGGAGGAAAGGTGAAGTATTTCAACTTCAGTTGCTAAATTAAATACTTCCACTGGATTTTTGTAGAGCTGACGTTCTAAGAAAGGAAATTATTCTAGAAGATGAGCTGTCCCTCTATTTGGGATTAGTTTCAAGGATAAGAGTAGCTGAAGAAAGAAAAAAAACGAAATCAACTTAACAGATTTTAAACACACAGCTAATTTCAAACAAATGTTTTATTGGCATAAAAATGAGAACGTTGTAAATAAATTGGCACCAAATATTTCACTTAAAGGCATATTACAATGTTGGGGTCAAAAATATGTTATCCCTCCTTGCTGCTTTTTCCCCTTCTGCCCACTTTCCTGGGTGTTGGGGGAGCTCGCTGACAACAGTCACAAATCCAGCGACCTAGGAGAAAAATGATTCATGATACTTCAGAGGGCTGAAGTTTAAATCTATTTAAGCTCTCATTCCTTAACCATCAATAATGGTACTCCCCTGTGGATCTGGGTGGGAAGAGCACTAACAAGTTCCTTAATTTAATGATAAATGTGAACTTCCCATAAAGTAAGCAATCTTACGAAGTAGTAGGGGCAGGGGGTGGGCAGTGTCATACAATGGTGTGGCCTTAAGCAGTTAGTCCCTGCCTTAGGATGTATTCCAGTGAAGGTGAACCACACCATGACTCCCTTTGAGGGTCTCTGTGCACATCCCGGGGTTAGTGAGACATACTGCAGCTGTGTTGCAGCACGTAACATGCTGATGTTCTCGTTCTCAGATGTACAGGGATCAGATTTATAGATACTGATAATGAAAGGCAATAATGAAACTATCCTACATACATCAGAACCAAATTACGACAGTCTTCATAAGGAACCCCATCCTACGTCAAGGACTGACTGTCCTTTCTGAAATTCAAACACTGGCAAACAGAAAGTTCAGTAACATCACAGTATAACCTGTTAACTGAATTGGACTTGTTTTCCGCCATTTTCTCTGCTGCTCACTTGCAGCTTGTGTGTCTCCCAGCACTCTGAGGTCGTAATGTACTAACCATACTGACAGCACTTTAAAGCACATCGAGTGTTTTTAACAGCAGTGATAGGCTGCAAACCTGATCTGCCTTTCTATGGATCTTTAAATAATTACTTAAGCGGCTTAGCTTCTTCATGATTCCCAAGAAACTTGGTTTCAGGCATATATTTTATAGAATGCTATACACTGCTAACTATGCAACTAAGTTCTAAAATTATACAAGAGTATGTAATGTTTTAGTCCAGTTACTGTGATCTCTTCCTTGATTCTATTCATTCTGAAGTAACTGGGAAATGTCACACTGCCCCTACTTGGAGAAAACTGGTTGGACGTACAAAAACCTTTCCCATCATTTTGTTGTATTTCTAAGCAGATGATGTACAGAAATGAAATAAAGGCTTTGATTCAAATTGATTCTCTTGTTACTTTAGTTATTTCAGAAGAAAAATACGGTCTTGCACTGTCCATAGAGCCGTCCTAACGTGTAGAGTAAGTGTTCTGGTACATCATTTCAGGTGGGCTGTGCAGGAATGAAAACCAGGCGAGTGTGGCCTGTATAAACGCAGCTCCGTCACCTGCTGCAGACAGAAGGATCTCTGGATCCTTCATGTCATTAAGGTATTTATGCCTTCAAAGACAGCATTGGGAGAGTCCCACCACAGTAATGTTCATTCTTCAACTTTTACCTGATGGAATAGCACCAAGGCCTACACAAAAAGTATGGTAGCCTCTGTCACACACATCACAGAACATCATTTCTTCTTCATGGTGGGGTTGTCCACAAATGATGCATGTCTTACATTCCATGCACTGCCACGGGTAGGTCTTAATCATAGAGACAAGCTCCATGGTCATATCCAGGCAAGAAGGATGGCCTAAATCAGAACCAGGATTAGTAGCATTCCACACAAGAATCTGGAACTTAGTACGGCTTAAAACACTAGTTTAAGACTTCCCAAAGATGGTTACAACCTTAATGAGTCAGAGAAATTTACAGAACAATGAGGAAGAAAACACACTGTCTGTCTACACCTTTCAGTGACCCTGAAGCCTGACGGGTCTCTGGCTGAAGTCTAGCTGCAAATAAAAGTCCTAGTTTGGGAAGCAATAAGGAGGGTGGTTAAACATTGAGAAGACACGTCAGTCAGTACTTACCACTGTTGTCACACTGGGAGCAGTGTATAAGTGATTCGGCCTTGCCTTTCTTGTTGGACTCCTTACCCTTCAGACAAATTCCACATATAGCATTTGGAATGACCTTTGGCTGGAAGGGTAGAAGAGGGCTATGAATTCAGGCCAGAAGAACTGGCTGTGGGTTCAAAAGGAATTGTTACTGCAGTGCCTCACTGTTACTTTTGGTAACTTGCTCATAAGGACCTTTCTGAAAGACCAACTTGACCTGAATATGCTTAGGACATATGACCGCCTACTGACTAACCCGTAAATTTCATTTCAAAAAGTTAAATCAGACATAATCTCATGTTAAGATCTAATGTAGCATTCCACACTGCCAAAGGCACACACAGTAAGCTCTGTGCTGTGAACTGGAAATAAAGAACACACACAGTATCAAACTTCACCATTAACTGGGACAGTGACCACTACTGAAAGTGAGAATCTCTTACTGTAAGAAAGAAAACTAAGTTTTAAGCAGCTTACACGCTCATTTTGTTTAAAAACTTACTTTCCAAAATTGTCAAACCAGATCTGTAAAATCTACATTTCAAAGTCCATATTTTAGCATTTTTAATTGGAACACGTTTCATGCGTACATTGTCATGTGCATACATGTCTACTGAACACTGATTCGTGCGATGATCCCCTTCACATACATAACAAAAGAGCTGGAAGGAAGAACATTCACTTTGAGAGGTCAAACATAAAAGACAATGACACTCTCAGAGAAGCAAAAACACCAGTCAATTGGGGGCTGGGGGGGGCAGACACTTAATATGATGAGCACTACTCACGTATCAGACTGAAAACAAGGCCGAGCCCAGGGAAGGTGGCTGGGCCGGTGGCAACCCCTGGGGAGGAAGGGGCAGCTCAGGCACTTGGCAGAACCAGAGGAGGGAGGGTGCTCAGCCACTGGGCTCACTTACTGTCTGTGACTAAGTACACAACTGGAAAAGATGCCAGAGGGGGGCCAAGAATGCAGTGGGGGTGGGGAGGACAGAGACATGAACCAAAGAAAAAGTGTTACATACAATTGTTTTCTTCCAACCCAGCTGAATGTATCTTGTGTTTCCCTTTCCTAAATCAGAGAATCAAAGAGGAGCCTAATCACAGTTCACTTTTTAGATGATGTTCCAGCCTGGAAATGTCTCACCTGCCACTTGCATAACCTGCTGGGCCTAACCAATTTGTTCTTAGTTCTTTAACCTTTATTTTTTAAAGTATCTTTCTGTGCAAAAGATGACAGAGGCATTCAAAAATAATTTTTGGCTTATTTATTTTAAAAAAGGCAACCTTATACATAAATAGAAAAACAGTAACTAAACAATCACAGATATCTACAAAACAATAAATATCACAGGAGTTGAAGCTCACAGAGAACTTTACTGTAACTATTCTGCGGCTCCTGTCTGTGCTCCCCCCAGTGGAGGGCCGTGCCCCACGTGCAATCTCAGGGTCTGGCAGTGGGGTTACTCTCTGCTGCATCTGCTACGTCCGATGCACAAGGTTCCCATCACGTCCCTACACCTAAGTGATGAACAGCGAGGGCGTGCACGTCCGTGCCCCCAATCTGCCCCGACATGAGCAAGTCTGTCACTGCCAGAGCACACGGCAAGAAGCCAGCTCTCCACCCACCGAGACTAACCAACGCCTTTGGGATGTGGTGCCCACGCTAAATGCAGGAGAGGTACTGACTGAGTACTTGCAGCTCAAGTGAGAACCTGGCAGGGTATGTACTTGAGTCCCTTCCCCTAGAGTCAGGGAAGCAACATACAACATCAGCTTCTAGGAAGAGAGTTCCTCCAAGAAGCTCCTTCTCAAAACCAAAGTCAAAGACTAAACCACAAGGCCAGGCACTCACATCTGAAAGCAATTCAAGGGCACCAGGCAGTGCCAGGTGCACTTTGAAGCATAAAGTCATAATGGCGGGTACACCACCCGAGAATTCCTCTCACCAACAGTCTTCCCCTTGATGGAAGGAGAGAGAGACGGGAGCAGGAAAGGGCTCCAGAGCCTTGTTAGGGTGCTGCTGCAGCCATCGCAAACAAACACTGTCTGTCCACCCAGCCTCCAGAGCCCCCAAGCCCCACTGCTGGCCGGCAGGGCTTTCCCACCAAGCACCAGGCTTG